ATTATATTATAATAAATATTAATAATAACTTAAAAGATTTTTCAAATATATTACAGTATGGTGGACAAAGGGTGCCTACAGCCTCCTCTCCAGCTAATACTAATAGTAGTTCTAGCAGTGCTACCGGCAGTCGAAGTGGGACAATGAGCACAAGTCTTAGCAATAATGCTATACAAGGACAGCAAGCAGAACAGTTATCAAAAACAAATTTATATATTCGTGGCCTCAACCAAAACACTACTGACAAGGACCTCGTTAACATGTGTTCTCAGTAAGTCACTCGTGTAATCAGAATTTTATATATTGTTATATTATTTAAAATATTATGAAAATAATTATCATTTACATCAAACAATAATATTATTTTTAATATAATTTTATAATTAAATAAAAATATTATTTCTAATAGAAAAGTATATTGTTTCTAATATTGTGTTTTTGCAGATATGGAACTATTACGTCTACAAAGGCAATCTTGGATAAAAATACAAATAAATGTAAAGGTGATTAGATTTTTATTATGTTTTCTTTTTGTCATTTATTATTTATCAATTTATAAGTTAGTTTTATTAATTAGTATTATAATTTTTGTATTATAGGTTATGGATTTGTAGACTTTGAATCACCAGTGGCGGCAGAGGGTGCTGTGAAAGCACTGGTCGCCAAGGGCATCCAAGCGCAGATGGCGAAAGTGGGTATCTGGGTGCTCCCTAGACTGCCCAGTGTACGTTGGTTGTGCATGCAAGTACAGTAATACCAGAGTAACAGTAAACTCCTCTTTTCTCTTTCTTTTCTTTCTTTATCTCATCCCCAATGTTTTTAATTTTCTTTTTCCTCTTTTCATTTTCTACCTTTCTATTTTTCTGTGATTCCAAATCTATCTACAATATATTTGATTATTATTATAATACTTTGTTCTTCTATTAATATAAAATTAAATTAAATATCATTAATTTGAAAAAGTTTTTATTCTTGTATTGCTGTGATATATATACACAGTAAAACTTTCATTTATCATATAAAATATAATGTATAAAAAATATTAGAGTTTCAATCACAATAGATACCATGATTGTCTTTCAATAATTATTTCTAATTTTTTAAATATGCATATTTATTTAAGATAATAATAATACTAATAGCTGTAATAGTTGTAATTATAAATCGTTAAAAATTAATGTCAAGTAAATTTTTGTATTACTAAAATAAAATATTAATTTTATTAATTATATAAAAAAAAGTTAACCATTATTAATTGTTTTTAATGTATTAATCAATTATATATAATAAATATTAATCTCATGAAATAATAAATATTAATAATTTTGTTTTATATTATTGTTACATATTGTTATTACTTTTATTTGTATTTTATATTTGTAATTTTAAATTTTACAAAAATTATTTTTATTAAAATAATATTTAATATATAATTATAATTTATTATAAAAAATTTGTTAAAAATTATTAATTCAATTCTATAATAATTGAAAGGCAAGCATGGCATCATTGTATTGGCATCATTGCTCTGCTCTCAGCCCCTCTAGAAATGTATAAAATTTATATTTTGACAAAAATACTTTGATAAAACTCTTTAATATTCTGTAATTTTTGTGTTTTATAAATAATGTATAAATAATGTTTTATAAATAAAATATTTTTAGTACAGAAATGTCAGATTAAAAGAAAATGATAAATTTCATGAAAAATATTAAAATTTCATGAAAAAAAATTAAAGTAAATTTATTGACAAGTGAGAAAGGAAAAAATAAAAATTTTTATATATCTTTTTTAAGAATAAAAAAACATTGCTAGAGGGGTGGTTTCATATATGAATTATATTTTCATTGATAATAAAAAGTAAGAAAAATTTATAAATAATAAAATCTTATTTATAATATAAATATTTATATAAGTAATAAAATTATTAATAAAATTATTTGTACAATATAATATACAAAATTGTATTGTATTATTGTTAAAATTAAATTATATTATCAATGAAAATATAATAGCAGGCAATTATGTATAATTTGAAGTATATAACAATATAAAGTTCTCCCCAGAACCTATCTCACTTGTCTGAAAATCTCTAGTTTTCACCAATTCTATCTATCATTCTATCTTATATACCTTTCAAACTATCAATGCTTGTTGCTGTACCTCGGCCACAAATTGCTGATATTGCTATGTCAATATATTTATAATTCGTGTCTTAAGATTGCATTTATTTCAGCACTAATTTAAACCTTTAGCAAATTATTTTAATATATTTAAATATTTGTGTTTGTATCATATATAAAAAACGATTGATAACTTATTGTTATATTAAGAGAAATTCTAAAATTCTTTAGAATAATTTATTAAAATTGCTTTCAAGTATGACAGTATATACAGTATTATAATTAAAATACAAAATATTTTATTTTATTTTTTTGCAATCTGTCAAATGTTATATGTTTGTCTTTTATTTTAATAATGTATAAATATTAGAAAAAATTGCTTTTATTCATTTGATTTTAAAATTTTTC